CCCGCACTATTTTTTTTTTAATTTTTTTTAACATTTATTTATTTTTGAGACACACAGAGAGAGAGAGAGAGAGCATGAACAGGGGAGGGTCAGAGAAGGAGGGAGACACAGAATCTGAAACAGGCTCCAGGCTCTGAGCTGTCAGCACAGAGCCCGACGCGGGGCTTGAACTCACGGACCACAAGATCATGACCTGAGCCGAAGTCGGCCGCTTAACCAACTGAGCCACCCAGGCGCCCCAACCCAAGCACTATTCTAGCACCCGGCGGGGGAGATACCATCCAGAGGCCATTTTGGTGGGAGAGATTTCAGTTTTGTTCATCCAAGGCTTGATTATGAGAGGTGGAAGCACTGGGCTAGAATTTAAGAGGACACAAGTGGAGGGGGATCACGGCTCAGAGCCAATTAACTTGACACAATCATACTTCCTAACAAGAATTATTTGCTCTGAGAATTCTTTGCTCGTGCCTAGTTGGGGAGAGGTGGTTGTGTTTGCTTGAAAGGGGATTCTATTATGGTGACTTCATAAGAGGCCTGCTCATCTGGCTTTGTTCAGGGCAGCAGAGGGGTACTTCTCTGCTTTGGGGATTCCTCCAGGGTTCCTCAAAGAATGGGCAGCCGCCATTGCTGTGTGGTATCTGCTTTCAGGCTGATTTGGCTCCTTGCTCTTCCAGCCTCTCGAAGAAATATCCCCTCCCCAGTATCTCTTGACCTATCCTGGACTTGAACCTTCTCTAAGAACCACAGGACTCCTGACCCCTTATCCCCATTTTGCCCCACACTCACCCTGCTAACGGGTAGGGTTCCAACACAGCAGTCTGAGTTCTGAGTCCCTGGGGTTGGAAAGCACAGTGACCAACCATCCCGGTTTTCCTGGGACTAAAGGATTTCCTGGAGTATGGGACTTTCAGTGTTAAAACTGGGAAAGTCCTGGGCAAATGGGAATGAGTTGGTCACTCTAAAGTCTCCAAAGAGGCAGCCTTAGGAAGGGGATGAAGGCCCTGAACAGGAACCAGGGAAGTTATGTGTGTGTGTTGCACATGTGTACTGAAAGGGCAACACAGGTGCAAAGAACACTTTTTGTACGTAATGGCTGACAAGTTCTTAGCTCCACACCAGTAGTCATTATTTCTGCCCATGATGCCATTTTTCTTCCAGTTACCCAGGTTTGTGAGGCTGTCACAGATTCATGCAATCTTCGGTCATTGGGATAATCAAACAGATTCCTTTTTCATTACAGCGCCCCCCGCCACCACCACGTCTGGCCCCGAATTCTCTCGGCTCTTACCTTCTGCAGTGGCCAGAGATACGCTCCTTCTTCAGGTCCCTGCCAGTTACTGGTCCGCCCTACACTTGCAGCCAGATTGGCCTGCTCTAACATTGCTGTCACGTCTCTCCTCTCTAAAACCTTCAAGGACTATGCTTTATCTATAGTAGAATCCCAAAACTGCTACCTTTGGCCCTTTCTCCCCGGCTTTCTTTGTAAACCATTTTCTTCTTTCAGTTAGGCCCAGTCACAGTTATGGGGACAGAACATGCAGTGGTCAAAAGCATGAGCCCCTGAGTCAAACAAGCAGGTTAGTGCCAGCCCTACCACTTACAAGCTCCATGACATTACTACATCTTCTTGGGCTTCTGTGATTCAGTCTCCTTACACTTAAAGTGAAATTAAAATCTGGGGCACCTGCGTGGCTCAGCTGGTTAAGCATCTGACTCCAGCTCAGGTCAGGATCTTATGGCTCGTGAGTTCAAGTCCCACGAGTCCCACGTGGGCCTCTGTGCTGACAGCTCAGAGTCTGGATCCTGCTTCAGATTCTGGGTCTCCCTCTCTCTCTGCCCCTCCCCTGTTCATACTCTGTCCCTCTCTCGAAAATAAATATTAAAAAAAAATTTAATGAAATTAAAATTTCATTATCTTTGGGATTACTGTGAAGATTAATCCATGCACATCACTTGAATTATGTTCAATAAGCGGTAGTTATTGTCCAACAGTGCCAGGTTCCCTTCTGCCTTCCAGCATTGTTCAGTCTCCCTGAAATATTCTCTCCTGGGACCTCCACTTGCAACCGAGGCCCTAGCTGACTCCCCTTGAATCCTGGATGGATCATTCTCAGAACATTCTTGAGAATGAGTTGTGGCATCTGGGCAGAAGCATGGAAAGCCTGAGGAGGGAGGAAGGACAGACACGGAGAGAGGGGAGCCAGGAAAGAACCTAAGCATGGTCTTCTGAAGATCTGAAGTGATGGCCCTGCATAGGCATAGGCCTCTTACCTTCTCATCATATTGCCAGAGGGTGATTAATTACCAGTGGAATAAATTAATTTCAGAAATGTCCGCTGGTGGGGGTAGGCTATTGACTCCACCCGCCAAGGTCCCCATGCAGCTACTCCAGCCTCCACCTCCGCGGCCAGACTCAGCCTCCCCACCCTCCTGCCAAGGCCACTATCCTGGGGGGAACATTTCCTGCCCAAGTGTGGGGCAGAGGTCCCAGAAGTAGGGTTGTGCCCCTTCTCCCCACCGCTTTCACTTAGCTTGTGTTTCAGCATGGGGTTCTTTCAGCAGAAGTGAGGGAATGGTCTGAAGCCCATTAACAAATGACCTCAGGGTGGGGAAAGGGTAGGATCAGGCACAACTTTGTCACTTTGGAGCAGCCCAGAGGTTAGCTGCAAGGTCTTGGAGGAGGCGGGTCAAAGGCCTGCTGGAGTCCAGCGACTAAAGGCAGTCAGTAGGGGTAGGTCGCCCGCAGCTACGTGTCCCTCAGCTCGAAGTCTCCAGAGTGCCGTCCGGCTGACATGCACTGGCTCTGAAGGCTGGCAGGATACCTAGGCCCAAATCCTGACCTAGTGCTTCTTGCTTTGTGAAACGGGTATAATTATATCACCGAATAGACTTGCTATGAGGTTTGAAGGAGACATCGCGTTTAAAGCGCTCAGCCAAGCGCGGAATCTGCACAACAATCGGCAGATTTTGCTCTTACTGCTCTGGGGCGCCAAGATTGAGGCGTCGAGCGACTGAGTCTCCATTTTATTCTCAACAATTGGGAAAAGTGAGTGTCTGGACTGTGAGCCAGAGGAGGCCAGATCCACACCCTCCCTCCACCCTAGTACCCAGGGCGCGGAGCACGGAGGCAAGGGGTCGGGGATCCAGGTGCCCAGGGCGGCGGCGGCTTTGCCTTCATTAGTCCACCTTTATCTCCTCTTCTGACAGGTGGGGCCCGGAGTCAGGCCGGCCAGGGACGGGGCGTGGGGTGCCGTCAGGCAGCGAGAGGCGGCACTGAACTTCGGGGGACAGCGTGCGCAACGAGGCCACGTCGGCGCGCATCTCCTCCACGTCGCGCTTGAGCTTGGCTCGCCGGTTCTGGAACCACGTGACAACCTGTGCGTTGGCCAAGCCGAGCCTCGCCGCCAGCCGGTCGCGCTCGGAAGGCGCCAGGTACTTCTGGAAGACGAAGCGTCGCTCCAGCTCCAGCACCTGCTGCGCAGTGAACGCCGTGCGTGACTTTCGCCGTCTGCGGCCAGCCTGGCCAGGGCCCAGAGCACTCGGGGCGGCGCGGCCTGCGGGGATATGGCGGGGGTCAGTCTTAGCCTGCAGGAATCAGGCATCCGCTCAAAGGAGAAGCTGTGGGGGGGGCTCAAGCCGGG